GGTTTAGGGTTTAGGGTTTAATGAAACCCGCGCTTACAGCGCAACTGGCATCAAGTGGCAAGAGAGTACTCACGCAAATGCCAGCGGAGGGTCAATCGCCAAGCAGTGCATGACCCGGAGCTGTCGTCCACCTGTGAATCCCAAGCCACACCTAACCACCAACCCCAAACCACCCGGGAAGCCAAACCCTAAACCCCTAAACCCCAAACCCTAAACCCTAAAACCTAAACCCTTTCTATTTGAATTCAATTCCCGAGCTCTGAAGAGGCTTGGCATGCCTTGGATGCAGATGGCTCGAGGAGCACTCGAGAGCTCAATGCGTCGGGTGCCCGAGGGGAGGGCGGAAGACCCGTTCTTGCTTGGGTTCGTGGGTTTAGGGTTTAGGGTTTAGGGTTTAGGGTTTAGGGTTTAGGGTTTAGGGTTTAGGGCTTAGGGTTTAGGGTTTAGGGTTTAGGGTTTAGGGGTCCCTAAACCCCAAACCCTAAACCCTATAAACCCTCAACCCTGGGTTAGGGTCTGGGGGTGCTGTTTATGTAGCCTTGCACGTCCCGATGTAAACCCTCATGCGAGTACCTCAGTTTTTGGGTAGGCCGTGGGGATGTCTATGTTGACCCATATGATCCCCCAAACAGTGCTTGCACGATGGGGTTCTTACGTTCGGAGTAAAGGAAACTGGTTGCGGGCCGCAACGGCGCACGCGGTGGGGCGCGACCTTCGTTTCGATGCTCCCGCTGTGGTTTCGCCTGAGAATCCCCTTGCGTTTCGCGAATTCCGGCCTCGTCTGGTCTGCTCTGGCCTCTTCTGGCCTTTTGTGGGTGGCCGCTTCAAGTAGGGTTATAAGGCCCTTAATTGGGTTATAAGTATAGTTACCTTTAGTTATAACCCTACTTACTAAGTCCCATGAACCCTTTAAAGTAAACCTTAGATGCCGGCTCATGGGGCTTGGAGTGCCGTGCAAGGTCTTAAGGTTCAGGAGTTCATCGAGGGATGGCTCGTCTAGGATGGCCCGTGCATTTTTTCGGGCGTCGGATAGGCTCTCGAAGGCTGCATTCATCGGTTTTACATGCCTAGGACTTATAGAGAGGGTTCAGGATCTAGGGTTTAGGGTTTAGGGTTTAAGGTGTAGGGCGAGATCTCTGGCCAGATTTGGGTTTGACAGCCTGAGACATCTCGACCCTAAGGCACGAGCAACATTCCTCCGTTTGCACGAGTTGAATAGGACGGCAGCCTCAGAGAGCGTGACTGAGGCCCCAGCAAGAACATCCAGGTCGATATCATCGGGAATGCCGCTCGGTTCTGAAGAGAAACGCCTGAAAGAGAGGGCTCAGGATCTCCGCCCTCAGACTTGTAGGTTACAAAACCCGCCAGCACTCTCGTCTCCGAGCTATTTTTCCAGGTTTTGGGACTTCTGGGCAAGGGTTCCTGCCGCGAGGATCCAGCGGTCCGTCTCTGCTGTACTCGGGGGATGGTAGCAGCAGCAGCGGCATACCCCTAAACCCTATAGATCCCTTATGGGAACCCTTTTAAAGGAACCCTAAACCCTAAACCCTATAGATCCCTGATAGTAGCAGCTGCCTGTCGAGTTTTGGTCCTGAGTACCGAGGACCTTGAGGCTGGCTCGGGCAGTATTGGCCATTCGAAACCTGCAAGCAACCCTTATAGGACTCCTATATCGGAACCCCTGTCGGAACTGATAGGTAGCCCTATAGGGTGGTATCTGGGCTCATGCAACAATTTGTGTCTAAAAGCAGGTCTTGAGCCCGAGAGGGTCTGAACCCTTCAGCCCCCCAAAGCGCGAGTTTTCAGAAACCCGGAGCCCCTACAGTAGAAGCCCAAAAGTTGGAAACCCTGTCATCCGGTCTCCAACTTTTTGGGGTGTACTCCTAAACCCTAAACCCTAAACCCTAAACCCTAAACCCTAAACCCTAAACCCTAAACCCAAAGGCTCATTGAAAGGCCCCTCAACCCACCAGCCCGAAGTCTCACATAGACCAAGCGCAGATCCTCTTGAGGACCCATTTCCAGGCAGCCTCTGTCCCAAGAGCCGAAAACCCACATTCAAAGCAGCGGTTTTCTCCTAAAGGCCCAAAAAGGAAAACCCCGAGCCCTGAACCGGAGACTTGTAAAGTCTAGGGCATTTAGCAGCTATCCCAACCTCCGAGCTCTAAAATGCCAGACCCAACCTCTCGACCATAGATCCTGAAGACGGTAGCCCTGGTAACCCTAAACCCTAAACCCTAAACACTAAACCCTAAACCCTAAACCCTAAATCCTAAACCCCCAACCCTCAACCCTAAACCCTAAACCCTAAACCCTAAACCCTAAATCCTAAACCCTAAACCCTAAACCCTAGCCCGAGGCCCGGAGCCCTAAACTTGCCAAAGGATGTGGACTCGATTCCTGCGCTGTCGAACACCGTGCACGGAACACCCGTCGGCCCCAGGCACACGTCTTGGGTCTGGGTTCGGGTTTTAGGGTTTAGGGTTTAGGGTTTAGGGTTTAGGGTTTAGGGTTTAGGGTTTAAAGTGTTGCGTGGAGGGTGGAGAGTTGAGAGTCCAGGATTTGGGGTGTATGGTTCAGGGTTCCAGGGTGCTGAGGCTTAGGGTTTGAAGTTTAGCATTCGGGGTCATGGGGATGTTGTAATGCAGCTTGATGTTTGCTTAACTCTCTTCCTCCAGCAAACTGGGCAGGCGAGTGTCATTTGGCTTTGGGGCTTTCTCGTGGGATCCAGGAGTGCCCAGTGTTTCGGACTTGTGGAGTGGCAGCATGGGGCTTACCGGCCTACTGGTACTTTCGCTCTAAAACAGGACTGTGGGGACACAGTTCGATTGTCCCGGGGAGAAGGGGTTCTTATTCCAAGGCGACCAGGATCCTGATTTGACGAGTTAGGGTTTAGGGTTTACGGAGCCAGAACAGCCCTGCGATTCCCAACCACTTCATGTCAAATGTAGGACAGTTTGCTTTGGGTTTGTCAGGCCTCGTGGAGATGAAGAGCACCATCTCACGCTCAGCGGCTTTTTTCTCGGCCTCCAAGCCCCCATACCCTAGCCTAAACCTGGAAAGCCTAAAGACCCTAGAGCTATCCTTAAAGCTAGAAAAAGGCAACAAGAAAGGGGGGCATGAAGATCGAAGCCTTAAGCGTCATGCCAAACCAGAGCCTGGACGCAGACCCCAAAACCTAGGTCCTCAAGCCTCGTCCCGGAAGGTTTCGCACCTGAAGCCCGGCTCTCTCGTCCCTGAAGCATGGAATCAGGGAGCCCTCCTGCAACGGTGGTGGTTCTAGCGAGCCTTTCGAAAGGATGGACCATGAGGAATGCAACTTTCGTGCAAGGAGATCCTGGAAAGCTACGATGATCACAGATCTTCAAAGCAGAATGAGAAACCCCATGATGTGATCTCAGGACTGTTCCTAATGACCGGGGGGCAGGGTTTCCCTTTAGCCGCACCAGGTAGACATCTCCCCTAAACCCTAAACCCTAAACCCTGAACCCTGAACCCTAAATAACCCTAAACTCTGAACCCTAAACCCTGAACCCTAAACCCTAAACCCAAAACCCGAAACCCTGAAGAGGCTTTGCTTTGACGACGATCCGCTGCCGCGATCGCAAAGCGAGCAATCGAACCTGTAGCTCGCTCAGTGGGATTTTTGGAGCTTTGCGAACTTTTTGGCGGTGTAAATGAGCAACAACAGAGAATCTATGGAAAGCAGTTTGTCTGTGTTGTTGAGCCTAGGGTGCTGGGTTTTGGGTGTAGGGTTTGCACCTTAGCTTAGATTTCGGATTAAGGGTTGAGGGTGTAAGGTTGCAGCTTCGGGGTTCAGGGCATGAGGTTTAGGGTTGGGTGTTCTAGCGTGTTAGCGTGCCGAGTGCAGAGTACAAGCTTAAGACTTTAAGGGCCCAGCGCCAGATAATCTTAAACTATGAAAACCCCCTCAGAATTGGGACTTCTAGAACACACTGGGCCTGCGGGATTCGCGCCGCCAGGTGCGGCGGGGTTGGGGCTCGGGTGCGCTCGTTCTTTGTGGATGAATAGGGGGTGACGTGCCCGACGGAGGCTTCGCAGACAGGAGTAGTAGACATCTGTGTTGCAGAGCTATTGGAGAGTCATGCAACAGGGGTCCTCAAAAAAGCCCTTCAATGGCAGCAGGGTTCATATACGCGGCTTTGGGAAATCTTTTTCGTTGTTTGGTTCAGGGCTTAAGGTTTAAAGGTTTGGCTTAAGGTTTAAAGGTTTGGGGCTGAGGGTCACGGCTTGCTTTCTTCGCAGCCATCAGTTTTGCAGCAACCAAAGTCGCTTACCTTTATCCGGCTGTCTGCCGAAAGAGATTTAACGCCATGGCCAAGAAGACCGCAATTGGTATCGACGCCTGGCCTGCCTGGTGTTTCGCTTTGTCGGGGGTTCAGGTTCTAAGGTGATTTAGGGTTTAGGGCTTAGGGTTTTTCAGTGATAAGTTTTCAATTTGGGGCTTTCCCTAAACCCTAAACCCTAAACCCTGAACCAGGGTATAGGGTTTTTCAGTATAAGGGTTCGGTGAATTTCGATCTGTCAGAGGCATGGGCCCTTGAACACAACAACTCATAAGCCCATTGAATAGGCCGGGTCACGAGCTTTCTGAGAAATGTCGAGGTCGATCCCCAAGAGGGGTTTTGAGAGTCGAGGGTCTCTTTGAACATTTTGGAAGCTGTCGGGCTTGTAAAGTCAGGCCCAAACCCTAAACCCCACACGCCGAATTTCACACGCTAGCGAATCCTCCCCCAAAAGCCAGTAGGATCTTGGCACCACGTACAGCTGCGTCGGCGTGTGGAAGAACGATGGCGTGGAAATCATCGCCAACGATCAGGACCTGGATGGAGCTCAACCTTTGCGTCTTTAAACCCACCCTGAGTCAGCAAGCCCTGGGCTCTTAAACCCTACACTCCCCAAGCACTTAGCAGCCCTCCGGGTTCCGGGTGCAGCTCCATGCACTGAATCCGAAGATGTCGCAGCCAGGGCAACCGAACAACTCCCTCCTACGTGGCCTTCACGGACACCGAGCGCTTGATCCTTGGGCTGCATAGTTTGGGGTTGAAGACTGGGATTCGCTCTGACGAAAGCAATCGTTCCGAAATTTGGACCACTCTTTGTGATTGTCCAGCAAGCAAATTTCAGGATCGGCGACGCCGCCAAGAACCAGGTTGCACGCAACCCCGAGAACACGGCCAGCAGCCGGCTATCAGAGTCTTTTCCGGGTGATTTTCCGTTTGGGGTTTAGGGTTCTACGGCACCCTTCGAACTTCGTGTCCAGCAGTGGCTGCGGCAAGCGAGGTCTTTGACGCCAAGCGCTTGATCGGCCGCAAGTTCCAGGACCCCATCGTGCAGTCCGACATCAAGCTCTGGCCCTTCAAGTGCGTCGCCGGTCCCAGCGACAAGCCGCTGATCGTCGTCCAAGTGGAGGGTGAGGACAGGTTCGGTGATTCAAAGCCCAGGGTTGAAGAAATGGACGCCTGAGATCTCTTCTGTTCAATGGTGACTCGGACCGCATAGCATCCCGCCAGTCCCCCTTTCCTCCGCAGGAAAAGAAATTTCATCCAGAAGAAATTTCCTCCATGGTGCTCCTGAAGATGAAGGAGACAGCAGAAGCTTACCTCGGCACGAAGCTCAACGATGCCGTGGTTACAGTGCCGGCGTACTTCAACGACTCGCAGCGTCAGGCCACCAAGGATGCGGGCACCATCTCAGGAATGAACGTGCTGCGTATCATCAACGAGCGGCTCCGCTGAAGCACCTTCTCAACTCGTGGGCCCGTCTTTATGGACTGGTTTTCATCAGAATTTAGGATTTCACTTCTTTTCAGCGGACAGAGCCCGCATGCTGCCCATGTCGATTTCTCATGGTCATGAGGCCAACTGCAGCAGCCATTGCCTATGGCCTGGACAAGAAGGGCTCCGGCGAAAGGAATGTCCTCATCTATGAGCCTTGGCTTGCACCTTACAGTCAAGTCGCCACACAGGGAAAACCTTGGTTTGTTGTTATGTTCATGATATCACCTCCAATCTAGGATGTGTGTGTGTGTGTGTGTGTGCGCTCAATATGCGCGTTTCATTCTCTGCCGAGACCCTGAAACGGTGTTGACTGATGCTGCGTCTAACCCACCTGCTAGGTTGGCGCACCCGCAATCAATCAATATGTATATATATATATATATATAACGCTCCAGGACATGGGCGGTGGCACTTTCGATGTCTCGCTCTTGACCATCGAGGATGGCATCTTCGAGGTGAAGGTGCCCACTCATCTGATGTTCAGTGCTGGCCAGTCCAACATCCTTCATGTAGATACCCTGAAGCCCAGGGCGCCGCAGGGTTTTAAAATGATGGGCTTGAATCTGGTTTTGCTAGTTGGCCTTGGACGTCACACTTGAACTTGCTCTGGGTTCGAGCTGCAAAGGCCACTGCGGGCGATACCCATTTGGGCGGTGAGGACTTCGACAATCGCGTGGTGGACTTCTGCATCCAGGACTTCAAGTGCCCTGGCAGAACATGCGCAGGGTTGACTTCGGCGCAAGAGAAAGTGCAGCTTGTTCATTCAGGAATTTTCTGGGGTTGCATTCCCACCCGAGGCGCAAGAACCGTGGCAAGGACATGG